TCGACGACATCGTCGCGGGGGGCCATGGGGCACCGTTTAAAAAACAGTAATTCCCAATTAGAGGATCACAGGGGAGACCCTCGGGAGACCCTGGCGGTAAATGGACTCGCACCCCCGAGTCGTCCATCGGATTGCCAGGATAGTACGTAGGCGTCCTGGAGGAAGCGCTACTTAAGGACATTACGCGACTACTGAGACGCGTCGGGGGCGAATCTACCGGCGCTCACAATTCATGCATAAGCTTCCATCTCCATAAAGGAGTTAGTGCCGTCATCCCGGTGGGTACTCATGTTTCATGAGGCTTACCCAGGGCACTAAGCCGGCGGCGACCCACATACTACGCGAGCCAGAACAACGCCTCCGCTAAATAACTCCGCCGAACCCGTTGCCCTGGCCAGAACGGTTCCTAACCCCTTTCCCACCCCTAGCTGCACAGTTCCGAGTCCAAGGAAGACTCCGGTCCTGCTGGCGACGCATTCCGAACCCGCACTCGGGTGCAATTAACGGAATGCACTGACTCCTATGTAACTTTCGGAATGCCCAGAGAGGTGGTCCTAGGTGACGATCGCGGGTGCATAAATCTTCCTGGGTTTACGGCTTGGATTTGGCCACCCTCATTAGCTGCATTTGGGAAGTCCGTATCTGGGAAATGTGGATGCTAGGGAAGATCCTGAATTAGGAAGGACGAGGGTCTCGAACCTCCCGAAATTTCATATTTCGGAAAAGGAATCATTTAAGGAAAAAGCGGAGGTAAAAGGAGGCGTCGTTGATTGTGCCGAGAAGAAGTCCGTATCTGGGAAATGTGGATGCTAGGGAAGATCCTGAATTAGGAAGGACGACGGTCTCGGATCTCCCGAAATTTCATATTTCGGAAAAGGAATCGTTTAAGGAAAGTCAAAGCGGAGATAAAAGGAGGAGTCGCCGATTGTGCCGAGAAGAAGTCCGTATCTGGGAAATGTGGATGCTAGGGAAGATCCTGAATTAGGAAGGACGAGGGTCTCGGATCTCCCGAAATTTCATATTTCGGAAAAAGAATCGTTTAAGGAAAGTCAAAGCGAAGAGAAGTCCATATCTGGGAAATGTGGATGCTAGGGAAGATCCTGAATTAGGAAGGACGAGGGTCTCGAACCTCCCGAAATTTCATATTTCGGAAAAGGAATCGTTTAAGGAAAGTCAAAGCGGAGATAAAAGGAGGAGTCACCGATTGTGCCGAGAAGAAGCGCGCGAAGGAACGCCGGTGGAAGTGGAAAATATGCCGCCTTCCGGGATCCCTCGGGGAGGACTATCAGCCGTGCAAACTTCGGCGGAAGTCGCGTTTATGTCCTCGCCCCGCCTCGCGATTTCGCGAAACACCTTTCGTTCGACTAACTAAATATGTACATTTCATCCTTTCGCCAATCTCCGGAATGGCGTCAAAGGAAGTCTCCTTTTCCCCGTCCCCATCGGGACCGGATGGAACGCTAAGTTCCCCGGGAGGAAAGAGGCGCCAGCGAATCGGGGCGCAAACGTCGGGGGCGGGGGGTATTATTAAGCCAGGCGGAATGTTTAATTCGGCCGAATGTCCTTGCCCGATGAAAATTGTAAACAGCGGCTCGCGATAACGCCCTCGGCGAAATCATGGCGGGGCTATTTCGGGGATCGGGCCAACCTGAGAAGGAAATAACTCCTCCTCGTAGATCTCGTCCTATCTGATGGCACCCTCGTCGCAGCCAGCTGGAAACTTAAACTCCACGCTGCCGAAAACCCCTAGGCCAATCCCGCCTTGCGCTAAGTCCACGCCGCGATATTTACGCGACTTCTTCTCCCCTTAATTGCCTTTTAAACGCAGTTACCTCCTTATTTATTAACCCCTTTCCATCTCCGACATCCGGGAAAGAGGTTGGGTCGGTGGTCGCCATTTGTATTGGTAATTTCCCTGCAATTTTCCTTAATAAAATCATCTTCCACGTACAATTTAACATGGACTAGGCGTCATTACCGAGGCTTTTAATAGACTGGGTATCGTCGCACTTTAACAGTTCTCCACAGATAGATAATATAATTTGATCGAGATACGACCCAATCAGTCATCTTTTAAATAGATACTCAAAGTGACTCGGTTCAAATTTAATTCCTATACTTAATTTACATAATTATATAAAAATTCACGGAATACCGCATGAGTTTGCGAGTGCCTTTGCTATGTTAGAAAAATGTCCAAAAAATTTGGCGGTCAATTTTCGTTACTACAGGAGCGACTCTCATCAGAGGTGTGCGCACAAATTCCTCTTCTGTCGTCGCGTGGTTTGTAAGGAGAGAGAGGGTGGGGGAGTGAGGGGAGATCCCAGGTTCTCTTGCTGTTGGATGAGAGAAGAATTCTCTTCTTTCGTTCCCCCTTCTTTAAACACCAGCCAGGAAGACGGGACAGGGAACTGCGCAGATTTCAGGGAAACGGGAAGGGAAGGGGGGGTGGGGGAGGTACGGGAACACGTTGCGGATAAGCAACCGTGCAGGTACATTTTGCCCTATAAACTCCAGTTTTGACGCAACAAGCGTCTCCTCCTCGAACCTCGGAATCGGAAGCCAAGGGATATGGACGCGGGGGATTCTCCCCGTCCGATTCGCGAAGGTTTATATTGAGAGCTTCGTTCGATCCGAAACGACAGCTCTTTCTCCTCCATTTTTTTCTCTTCACAGAGATCACACAACTTCCTCGCGCGCGCACGCGGCTTTTTCGGTCCTTCCTCCAGAAGACTGGCAAGGGAGGGAATTTTATCATCCTCCGGCTGTAACCACGAACTTCCTTGACATGAGGAGAAGGACCCCCCGAAACTCTACAGCGAAATGCTGGACGCTAGGTAAAGGTACGGGACGGTAAGGTACTGAACGGGAACGGTAGTAAGATACTCAAAGGGGGGGTAAAGGGAAACAGGAAATCAGGAAAAACCCTAGGATGTGAAGAAAACCCCAAATCGAATGTTGCATCCCAAACTGCTGCTCAAAGATGACGGAAAGGAAGAAGGAATCCCCCTTAAGACCACGTAACAGCAAGCATACCCAGGATCTCTCCTCGTCCGGACGACTCCCACCACCCTCTGCTCTCCTCACCATCCACGATGTTGTAATCCCTGAGTAACACCGGACCGCCGATAGTTACTATTTCGAAACTAATATATATATTAAGTACTCGCAGTAATCACCACTAGCGAGAAAGCCACCTCGAAGACGCCAGCGCCGTCTCCGGCGTCGAAGGATACGAGGAGCACACATGGTAATCCTTTTTTGGCGCGACGTGGAGGACGTTTCGAATTAGTTTTGGTAAACTCGATGGCGACGTCTCGGGAGGCTGGGAATAATCCGACGACGTGGATTTTCATTTAAATGAAGCGGTAACGAGGGGGTATGACTTTTGTACTTTTGCAGTCGCGGGGTAGAATTAATTAATCATCCGAGGTGTATGTGTGTTTCGTATTGAGGGGCCCTGTTTTATCGACCGAGGAGATTTGTAGAGGTGTCGAGGAGCCGATAGAGAGCGGGCTCCTTTGTTGACACTCGAGCGGTGTGTTGTCGCAAGGCGAGGTATGCGTCGTCGAGCTCGACCTAGGTCGAATTTGTTATCAGGAGAATAAGGATCGGGTTGGAAGTGTGCGTTTCAGTTTCTTAGACCTCGTTGGACGTGTCGGACGTTGCGTCATTCCTCTCTAAGCGCGGTGACAATTTTCTGGACAAAGCGAGGGTACCGGCCTTTGTGTATCGTCGTTCGCCACGTGTTCTCGTCAGAAGTGCAATGCCAAGATTTTACCGGTGCGTCCCAATTACCTGATTAACTTAGCACATTCGTGATAAATTACCAGCATCGGTTCTTCGATTTTCTCGTTATTAGAATATAACGGTAGAAATTGAGTTTTCTTATAAAGTAGCAGTAATGGCCCGCCCGTAGAAATGTTCCATCCACCTTCATTAGCGACTGGTATTTAAATATTTACAACTTGCCAAGATTTTACCGGTACGTCTTAATTACATGGTTAACCTCGTATATCGGCATACAATTAGCAGTATCGAGTTTGGGTGTTTTGGTTTCGCTACTAAAGTATAATTGTAGAAATTGAGGTTTCCTTACAAAGACGCCATTGGAGGTTGCCTCTAGCCGTGATCTTCATACGTTCATAAAAGGTTCATATTTCAATGTTCACGACTCGTCAAAATTTCCGTGGTACGTCTTAATTATACAATTAACATTGCTAATATCATTTGGATATATACATATACATTTCGGTGGTTATTTAAATATAACGGTGGAAATTGAGTTTCCTCATGAAGACGCCATTACGGGCCGTGCGCCTCTTCATAAGGGGCTCATCTTTCACCTTTCAATATTTATGACTCGATCGGAGGACTCGAGATATTACTCCCGATGGCGCCCTTTTCTCGAAAGTCAGGAGCTAAGGAAATACGTCGGGGAATTCGCAATAAAGGACATTACCGGACTATTAGGGACGATTAGGAGGTGCAGTCTAGGGAGGGGCGACGGAGGGACGACTTCGGCTCGAATTTGAATTTAAAGGCGCACCTTTGGCAAGGTCTGCGACCATGCCGAGCATTGCGGGCGCGAAACATTCGTCGGGCGGAGGTGCGCCGTTAGAAGCACGTGTCCTTGCCGATTAGCATAATGGCGGGAGCTCCTTTTTTATGCCCACGGTCCCCCCGACGCCCACCCCCAGGGGACTCCGTAAAATGTTAATACTCAATCCTGTCGTAGGCAAGTTTCGCGATGGAGGCCAGGTGCGGCGCATGTGCTCGCAGGGTCGTTAAGATCCCTTTCCTGCAGGTTGCTGAGAAGGAATTGCGGTCATCCGTGTTTCGAAGGATTCGATTTCTCTCGATATGAATTGGCGCGTGGATTTTGACCAGGTAAGATAAGCGTGAAAATCACGCATCTTCGATAATGAGTTTACTGATTACGCCAGGCGAGGCTCAAATCTTCGCAGAGTCATTGAAGTTCCTTTTCTGCAGGTTGCTGAGAAGAAACTGCGATCCTTGGCGTCTCGAAGGATTCAATTTCGCTAGAACTAAATTGGCAAGTCGATTCTAATCAGTTCAGGTAAATGAAAATTTTTCATAAAGGGTCTCCCGAGCATCCGCATTACCGATATGATCATGTGATGATATGATTTAATTATTATTTGCAGTTTCCCATCGTGTACATGCTCATCGTGGAGTGGAGAATGGCGCTTGGAGAACAGTAAGGGTGATATCAGGAATGAGGACAGAAAAAGGTACTTAGGCTAATCTCAGCAGTTACATTTTTTGTATACCCAGTGGCGTATAATATTTCCTTTTTGGCGGGGTTACACGTAATTATTGTATAATACTAATTTTCCCCGCGAGAGAGCCCAACTTTGTACCGCCGGTCATAATCCTCGCCCACGTGACGAGGCATACGAATTAAATGGGAAGGGGGGCAGTTTCGCTTTAATCTCCCTTCCGTGACTCGGCGTTGCACTCGATTAGCAGTCCCATTGCTCTATGCATTAGTAAGAATTGGAAAATTCAATGAGGCCGGCCCACTAAATCGGCTAATTAGATTGCCCGACATTTTGGCTCGCTCTCTCGGCGAGACCGACCCGCGAGGCTTTTGCATTCGTATTTGTTGATGCCCCCGGCAGATAGCGACTCGGTATTTTTCTCGAAAATTAGATCCGCCCCGCGGCATATCATTATTTGTTTATAATTAGTACGACGCCGCCGCGGAAGTGGATTTTAACCCCCGGTGACGATTAAAACGGGTAAACCGCGCGAGGGTCGGCGTGACGTCGTTAGCAACTTTCCGCCATTGTTTCCCATCCGCGTTGGACAAACTAGGGTAATTGCTTCAACTTCTGACCTATCTACGGACGCGCAGTTGCGTCGGCTGTTCCGATTGTTGTTCGAATCTGCATGCCGTGCACATCGATTGCCCCCCCTCGACTCGCCGCACTTCCGTCGCTGGCTGTTAATTTAATTTCCTTCCTTCCAGTTGCAACGTGCCATCTTTACCAAAGATAAGCCGCATCCGTCATTGCTTCGCCACCTCCACTCGTGCAGCAACGTAAATCAGGTAATTCATTCCCTCGTTCAAGTTTTTGCGATTCAAGGTCGGGTAACGTGGACAAATCCGACTGCAAAAGAGGGTTCCTGTAAAAATCACGATTTCATGATCCCCCGGATTGGAATTTCGCGTCCCTGCAATCCCTGCAACGATTCATTAGCCTCTCCCGTACACTTCTACACCGACGTCAACAGTTCCCCTTCCCTCCCCCCGTGTTTTCGGCCATTTTTATTATATTCGCCGAGGTGCGTTCATTGACGTCGGCCGGACGTCGAATATCGATACAAATACCCCCAAAAATTGAGCTCCCCGAGCGGACATGAATATCCGGCGAGCGAGTAATTGCCACGACCTGTCGGACATTCGATGCGATGGAAGAGTATCCCCCCTTCCGCGGGATCCGGAAAACAAGGGTGAAAAGGAAAAAAAAAAATGGGACCATTCATTATCGCCCCTGACAATCCGTAAGCAGGGACGCCTCGCGGAGAGCGAGAGTGGCGTAAGGGGATGAAAGGGGTGAATCGCGCGAGGGGCGCGAAAGGGTCGCAGGAGGAGGTGCAAGGTAGCCAGATCGAGGTTGTCACCCTTAGGGAACGCATCCGGGGATGCCCTGGAGGTTCCCTAGGGATTCCCTGCTGAAGGCGGTGCACCAAGGGGGTGCATTTATGGCGGCGGGGGTGGGCCGAGGCGCCCCGGGCGCTTCATTTACGCACATTTTGCATCCACTCAAGTTTCGTTTGAGCGCTGAAGATTACATGGAACATTATTTTGCCGGGTGGATGGGGCCTTTAACCGCTTTGATATGCCGCGCGTCCTGGCGAGAGCACTTCGCGCGGTCCGGATGGGGTGCCCCCCCCCCCCCTTCGACATCCCCCTTTGGTGCGACCCCCTCCGAGTCATTGCGCGAACCACGTGCTTACATACGCATGCACCTGTACGCTCCAGGTCGACCCCTTCACGTTCGCGCCCCGACAGATAGCGAGGTGCAGCTTCGCGGCTGCATGTGCACCCCCGTCTCGATAATGGCCCCCTGCCACCCCTTCCTTCTCTCGGCTGCCCCGTGGATTTAATTAACTCCGGCCCGGGACTCATCGTGTTTGCGTTAAGTCACGCCCGCCTCGGTGTCTTCGCGTTACGACGCTCCGGAGATGTACTTCCGCGCAACGGGTAATTCCTCCCTTAAGCCGGGTGTAAGGTGGAGCGCCCCGAGTCCCGGGGTGGGTCTTAACGCGTTGACGTTTTAAGAATCCTGATGAGACTCCCTCGGGAGACGGGTTTTTCACGCGGGGTTAACGGCACTGCGACTCCACTTTGTCTTTGAAAAGTGATGGACAACTTACTGATCTTATTCGGAGGGATTTATCGGCCGATTTTAGTGCTCGGAGGGGGATGGTGCAAACATCTAAGGTGCCGAGGGTATTTTTTATGTTTCATGTTTCGTGGAGGTTCATCAGGGGATGTTTTCAGTATGCGTCTTTGTAATTTGGAAGTGTAAATCTGGATATTATTTTTTTTCTTTTTTTTTCAGGGAATGTGGCTCCATCGCGCTGTGTGCATTTGGGTCAGGTGAGGTCTATTGTCTCGCCGGAAACTTCCGCTCTCAGGATGTCGACCCAGGGTGCCAGGGACCCCATCTTTGCCGGTTTGGAAGGCGTCAGGATTTTAGAGGCCACCCCCGAGTCCTTCGAGGACCCCCGAGGACCTCCCGGAGGGGCGAAACCTGTCTCCTCGACAGAGCTTTACCGGGACTTTATTAGGGTACGGAACGTAGGGAAGACACCCTTGGAGCTCCTCCCTGTGACGCGCGGCACCGTCGAAAGAGGATGAACCAACTCCTTTCGAGGCGAGGGCACATCGGAAGGCCCCGAGACGTCGCGGCGCATCGCGGAGGGTGCTCTTCGGGTCTTTGCCGGGTCGACAGGCTCCTCGGGGCTCGACTTTTGGCCCGGTTTTTAAGACAATCCCCTTTTCGGGGGCTGTCCCCCGTCTACTTAGAAATTACCTCCGACAGAGGTTGCCGCTATCCATTTTACGGGGCCGCTTAATGGTGATATCGCTTGTCTGGGGGGAGAACGACTGCGCTTTATGTCGCGGTGCCACCCCCGTATATCCACCCCCTCGGACCGCGGGAATGTTCAATAAAGTCACAGCCGAGTACCTTCGGCCCTGCTTCGATTAAATCGAATGCTCGTCCACCCACCTTGGGGCGGCTGGAGGGGTGCGATTTCTTGCCACCCCTTTATCTATGAGCCCTTATTCCGAGCATTTGTCCACCGGTCTCGATATGGACTTATCACAGGGTTGCACTTAACGCCAAGGTGAGGCCATCTCGAGACGCAGAAATGGCAAAAGTGTCTCGGTTTCTTTTTACTGGGTCCATTATATCATATTCCAAAAGATTAGACATAGTTTCAATATCTTATCGTGGATGGGCTCTCTCTGGCTTGAAACGATTCTCGGGGGTGGTGCCGCCTCATGAAACTACTCATAAGAAAAGAATTGTATATCGTTGTTGTTTCATTATGAATATTTTTTTTTTATTTCATAAGTTCACCGTCCATTTTATGAGGGATATGTTAGGTAATAGTATTTATACCTTTACCTAATATATATTAGGTAAAGGGCACGTATCGGCTCGTGTCAACTGGGGGTATGTTGGTAAAGACACGAAGGGCTCGGGAATTTCGTGAAATCTGTCCAGGAAATTCTGGAAGAACAATGGCTGGATTTTGTGGAAGACTTTTCCATGTATTTTCGACGAGGTTGCGGGTTGTAAGAATCGACGTTAAATCTCGCGCTAATGACTGCGGTCCGGGGTTAGAAATATATTCCTTTTCGATATCTCACGGGTCTTGCGGCTCTATCACGAAAGTGAACCGGTCGAGGGTGTAGGGGGTGCAGATCGATGGGATCGCGGGAATTCGGAAAATTACTGGGCCCGAGAGGTTTAGTTTGAATTTTTCAAGTACTCGTCGCGCAATCCGATTTTCTGGCGAATCATACTCCGTCATGCACCCTCCCCCCTGGCCGGCCATGTTAAATAAATTGCACCCACGCAGGGCCGCCTAACGAACAATTATTCACCCCGGCAAATGTAACCCTGGTGTGGCGTAAAATTCGGGAAAAACCCTTTGTCACGGGCCTCGAATCGTTTTTCTTTATACAAAGTTTGTATTATAATTGCAACGGATGTTACCGGTGAAAAATGTCGGAACCGATCGTCAATCTCGCGACACCCCTTCCTGGCGTTCCGGAGGACAGGGTTAGCCTTTACTTTTCGGGGCGGGGAAAAAAAAGAAACCATCAATTTATTCCCGACTTTGACAAAAGACATTACATGGTGTAGGAAGGAGTCGCCGGGGTCGGTCCTCGCAATTTTACGGGAAACGCATTATCGGAACCCGCGGTAACGACGTGTCAAAGGGGGGGCGAACGTCGCAGGGGTTGCAGAGAGGGTTAATATGCCCTCGGCGGGGTGGGGAGCTTTTCCATGTTTTTTTTTTTCTTTTTTTCGCAGGCGGGTCACGTGGCCAAAGGTTGCTGGGACGCGGTCCGGGGAAGGGGAAGGTCGTGTCGGTGACGCAGGGAACTGCGCACCCCCGGAACCAAGGGGATGTTGAAGAAGGTTCTATCGAGGTCGGCGGTGAGCGGGAAGACCGAGAGGGACGCGAAAGGGTAAATGAAGAGGGAAGAAGGCTAGCCAGGGACAAGAGAGAAGGATGCACCCAAAAGAGGGGCCAGGAAGGGGAGGGAAAGAGTAAAGGATTGATGAGATCGTTTCTCGGTAGAGGAAAAGGGGCTTTCCGGGGTACTCTTGGCGCATCTCAAGCGAATGCGCTTTTTCAGGGGATTCGAAAAGCTCCACCTGGAAGAGATTTTCCAAATTCTTGTGTTGCCGGGGAATTTTTTTTATTTTTAATTAATTAATTCCCTGGAGATATCCCGATGAAACGGGAATTTCTCTTCGCTTGTATTAGTTAGACGTTGATTAGTAGGAGTCTGTTACTTTTTTACTTTTTTTTTTTTATTAATGTAGAATTTAAGAAGCATCGATTTTGTGGGAAATTCGAAAGAAGCGGAGACTGTAGAAGACGAGATGTTGTATAAAAAAGCTTGTCGGATATTTTGTGAAGAAATTTTCGGCCGCAAGGTGTGCATCGATTGTTTGATGCACCTGTATGTTTCCCGGCTGTCGGTTCGCCGTTGAATTTGTTGGCCCGCGTGTCGGCAAATGTTTTGATTAGTGCAACGAAGGAGTAATTGGATAAGCACGCCGCGTACGGGACGGATCGTTTACCGGGTAATTCGGGAATGAAAAAGTATTTCCATCGCTTTGTTTCATTTGGTCGGGCGGGGAAGGGTCGGGCGCGGGGTTATCGTTGATTCGACGCACATCAAAAGGATTTTCACGGATAGCATTAAGGGCTAATCAACCATGTTATTGCATTCCGCCGAAAGAGTGATCGAATAGTATAATAGATGCATTTTCATTAAACGAGCACCACTTGAGTGCCTATTACTCGCTTTGACCCTTTCCAGCTAGAGATATCGAAGGATCAATCAATCAGTCTTACTTGGATTAGCGCAACGGGGAAATGTTTGGGCACATTGACAGAATTCACCTGAAACTATTTCTAACGCGACTATAACCGAGATCCATACGAAAAAAAAGAAAAATTAATAATTAGAATATGAAATTAAAAAAAAATGCCTTTTCCTCTTGCACATCTAGAGGAAAATAATTAGGATATTTTTTGCAATTAAACTTCGATTTGGAATGGCATTCAGAATCCAGATTTCCGGTTGCGGGGAATGGAGGGGGGATTGATTTTGAAGGATTTCCATATTTTCCCTCGATTTCTCTTTTTTCTCTCCTTGGGTTGGAACCGATCAATCCCGGGAACTAATTATCGGCCCTCGCGCTTTATCGGGCCGAAGTTCATCGATGAAGTTCGGCCCGAAGGAAGAAATTCATGATTGGTCGGAATTGCACGGGCCACGTACGGCAGGACGAGTCCGAAACGAGTTGCCAAAGTCAAAACATCCCAACGTAAAGGTCCCGGAAGAAATCGGTACGGGACTGTCGGGGTAAAAAGTTGTCCCCGTCGATAAGTTTGCGCGATATTTCGCGGCTTGCGGAGTTCCCTCGGTTAAGTCGGACCAATTGGAAAAGTTGGACCTTCCTTGCCTCGGTCTCGTCCTTTCCTGGTCGTTTAAAGTAGCCGACTTGAACAAGACTTTGCTGGGGTCAGGAGCCGATCGAATGGCGACGTTCCGGCTATCTAGAACTATTACACTATCGGCCCCCTCGAAATGCTCTTCCCTCCAGATTCTCGAATAAGGGATGAAAAGTTCAATTTTTCTTCGAACTAATCAAACACCTATTATACATAACAAATGGTAACGATCCGTGCTGTTTTATTGCCTTAACAATTTAATGTAAATCTTCGTTGCTACAGTATGAACTTGCCGTAAGGATAAGCGAGAATGGGAGAGCATGTCGGTACAAGGATAAGTGGTGAAATAAAAATATAGAATAATTCCTAAATCTCTTTTTAAAGGCCAGATACGCCTCCTGGTGTTCTGCAAGACTTCGAACGTTAAATTCAACCGAATTGCACGTTTCCGCAAATTGGAGAAGAGACATTCATTGACCCGTAGGAATATTTCGTTACTTCAAGGAGTAATCGTTCAACTCGGAATGAACTCAAATAAATTGTCATCATTCCGAGGAGACGTTGTATCCAATTCATTCGAGTTTATTCGCGTAAGATAATTATTCTTTGAATTAAGAAAATATTTCTCCTCGTTCGAAGAAATTTTTCTTCCGCTCAAATGATTTCTTTTTCCCGGCGTAGAGCACCGATCCTCGTTCGAACTGCGCCGATGGATCGAAGTTCTTCGCCGCACGGAAATGCCGTCCTGCGGCCGTTTTCTGTCCGCCTTGTCGATGCATACGTCCTTCTTGGCCAGATTTCCGGCGAGTGACGGCGTCGCGGTGACAAGCGAGGAAAACAAGCCCGAAAATCGAGACTTTACGAGGGCGCTTTTCGAGTCCGCGGCCAACTCGGGGCCTCCGCCGTTTCGCCCCGAAAGTTACCTCGTACCAGGCTCCGTTTATTTTATTTCGAACGTTGTCCCGCCTTTCCGCCCTCGTAACCGGAACCTATAAGCTTTCCGGATATAAATTCTACGGCGAACTTTCCCTCGCCGGCTCGACGACGATAGGTGGTCGAATTCGAAAATCCCACCCCCCTAGAGGGGGACTTTAAATCGAGCACGGTCAGCTTCGCTATTCGAGGCACCCCAAATGCATTGAACGATTTAATTTCCTATAGGCTTAATTTTCATTAGAGACTTATAAGGTAATTAATCCCACGAATTTTACTAAATTCGTTTGGACTAATTTGAGCCCGATTCTTGGGAAGGACGGCCTGAAGTTGCGAGAAGAGAAAGAGATAATTCCAGGTATTTTCAGTACCTGAAGAATCCTGAAGGAAAATGTTCAGGGATAAGGGAAATTTTTCACGCGTTTATTTTTTTTATCATTATACCTTAATAAGCATTGATTCAGACGATTCATTTTTTTTTTGGAGGATCAACGAATGATTATCGATTTTCTCTTTCTTATTTCCCTTCGCGGTGTGGCTCGACCATTTAGGACTTGAGAAGCAGCTGATATTAGCGATTCTAAGCATCTTTTTGGGAGCTTTCTCATTACTTTTTGCGTTACTTTTGCAACTCCTTGTCCTACAGAT